GCCAAACTACAAGAAAATCCCAGCAGGAATCTCCTCTGGCCTCACACTCCTCTCCCCTCCCAGCAGAAGGCTAACCTTGTGAATCAGGAGGCTGCTTATAAATAAAAGTATTCGGACTTCTTGGCTGCTGGAGAAGTGCTCTGCTTAATTTAGCCCTGGTATTATTAACCGTGGATTCTCTCCAATGAGCTGACAGCTGAAGAACAATTGCAGCCATTTCATTCCACAAAATGGATTTTAAATTGGCCTCATGCACTGGAAGCATCGATCACAGTATCTTGCTACTGTCATTCTGAAGCCTGCTCTGGGCTCTCCTTGGACTGGGGAAGTCACCTGAGTCTGAACTGGCGCTGTCACACGAATCTCTCCGTCTTGGAAAGAGCATCTGTCTCCTGGATCCAAGAAAATACTGCCTGTGCTTTCCTTTACTTCCAAAGACTAAACCTTTCCCTTTTCAACTTCCAACACCTCTGAATGTTTCGCAGTCCCATGTTTCTCTGGCCTCCAGCAAACCCCTCTCTCCCAGCCCTAACACATCCAAAGGCTTCCAACTGAACAGCTCCGGAGAGATTAGCAGGAGAAATCAGGTTCTGAGTCAATCAAACAACGCCGAGGGCACATCAAAGGCTGGGTAAATGAGGGCAGTGCTATAAAAGAAAGAGACAATAATGGTCTCCTGAAGCAGGGTGACAAAGCCACCCGAGCAGGCCTTTGGGCTGGCCCATGCTTCAAAACACAGCCAGGCTAATTAGGAACGGTGCTGGGCCCCCGGCACGGCGCAGTTCCCACAGCAGAGCCCCCGGAGCCTGAGTGTTGCTGAGAGAATCCACTCAGCTGGGAGGTTCCAGTAGGCGAAGGGTGAAGCCGAGCAGCTGATGTACAGCAGGACACACAAATAACACCAGAAACACCTTCCCAGCCCTGCCACAGCCACCTCCCACACACACAGGTCCTGCCCTGCTGCACTCGCTGGGGTCTGGTGGGCTCAGCAGCACCGGACCCCAGTGCTGGGTGGTCCAAGGAATCCCAGGAAGGCTGGGCAGGCTTGGAGCAGAGCCCAGGTTCCCCAGCAATGAGCCTGCACTGAAAGGTCATTTATGTCCAAGCCCCCAAAAAGGAGCTCCAACAAAGGAAGCCTCATCCCAAACTTAGAATACTCCTTTTATAACCCTTTCATCTACCAAGGATGGAAGATACCAAAGGAGTTCAGGACAACTCAGCTGCTTCCTCAGTCTGTGGTCGCTGTAATATTCACAGAATCACAGAATCCCCAGGTTGGAAGAGACCTTCAAGATCATCGAGTCACACCCAGCCCCAACAGTTCAACTCAACCCTGGCACGCAGCACCACATCCAGGCTTTGTTAAACACGCCCAGGGATGGGGACTCCACCACTTCCCTGAGCACACCATTCCAGAACTTTATCACCCTTTCTGTAAAAAACTGTTTCCTGATATCCAACCTATATTTCCCTTGGTGCAACTTGAGACTGGGCTATTGTCCTGCTCAACCTCTGCAAAGCAAAGCTCACCTGATGGCAGGTGGACAAGCAGAGCAGGGAAAAAAATATCAATTTCTACACTGAAAGCATCTGACAGGATCAAAAAGCCACTAAGAGGCAACAGAAAAGGTGTTGAAACCTGCACAGGCACACAGGATGCTCTGCAGAGCTTCCTGCAAGAGCTCACACAGCCCCACCGAGGGCTGTGCCTTCACCACGAGGTGATTTAACCCAGAGAGGGAGCGAATCCTCTCCCTGTCAGCAGCTCAGGAGAGCAGGAAGGACAGCACCTCACCCTGGAAGGCGAGCACTGGGGAGCTGCTGGCTGCCCAGCCAGGGTAAACACCCGGCTGCTGCTGCTCGGGGCTGGCCAGCAAAAATATCCCGTGCTGAAAGCTCTGATAGGAGCCTGGCCAGGACAGGGAGCGTCCTGCCTCTAAAGCAAACACGTCTGTATTTCTTTCCAGGCAAGGAAAAACGGTTCCATTCGGATCAGACCCAGGTTTCTTGAAGATGAGTGGCGCATGGAATAGCACAGCTTCGCTCACATGGGTTATTTTCATGTCCTTTTCTCCAAACAGCCTCATCCTGCCCACACCCTCCAAGTACTCCACATCCAGCCCAGTACTCCATCCTTTTTCAAGGAGGAACCATCATCTTAAACACAGGATAGCTCCCCTGACAGGTGACAGATAAGGAAAGAATGAGTCGCTGATGAGGTGTCCCTCCCCAAAGCAGCCTCACATCCTACTAGGAAAATCCAGCACAAATGTTGACTGATGAGCAAAGCCAACTACCCAGAGCACTTTTAACAGTGAAAAAGAAGATGAAAATCCAGACAAATAGGCTTTCCACCAGAAATTGATCCAAAAAAAGTATTTACCAAAGAGAACCATTGACTGGCCAGTAAGAAATTAAGATGAAAGGAAAGATAATCTTGTGACTGGGGTCTTCCTGTATCATCAATCAGCTCGTTCTCTATGGCAAGGACTGTGAGTTTTGAAAAATGCTACAAATAACCAAAGGCATCAAGAAACAGACAAAAATAATATAAATTCTCTGCAAGCTAAGGCTAATACAGCTGTTTCATTGGTCTTTCGGAATTTTTCAGGGGCAACATCTCTTTAAAAGCAGGATGGAAACCAAAGTTACAATGAAACTGGAAAGTCAGGAAAGCTCTCTGAAGGTGCTTGCAAAATGAACACTGTCCCCAGTCCCCTGTGCCTGTATCTGTTCTTCACCTGCAGGTAATGAAAATGCTTAAACCTTTACAAAAGATAGGCCTGGGAAACAGCAAAGTGTTGTCTGGCAGAAGGGGATGGCAGGGAATGGGATGGCAGGGGGTCATCTCTGCCCTGGGTGTGAAATATAAATCACCCAGGAATGAAAATAATTTGAGGCTGCAAGTGCAGAGGAATGCTCCTGGTTCAGCTGAGCTTTCCTCTGCCAGGAGGCAACAGGGCAATTAATGCTTTACAAACTTAGGACAAGCTGCATAAAGAATGATTTATCCCCTCTACTTCACATTCTTGCCTGTTCCTTGTAATTAGTTCACTCCAAAATGCCAGAGTTTGGACTTCTTTCTGCCTTCAATTCAGGTAGCAGAGCCATAATTTGTGTCCTTGTGTATCCTCGGCCATCCCTTTTTCACAGCCCATTCCCACCACTCTGCTAAAATGGTGACAGTGGGATCTGACAACAGATATCCAGGATCTCAGACCTTGATTTAAAATATGACAGGTGTGTTACACCCAAAGCTCCAACTTCGGGTCCCTTCTGCAAGGAGAGTAACATCTGTGCCACTCCAGTATTTTCCTCTCCTCCAAATCAAGCCAACCATTTCCCTTTTAATCAAAAATTGGTGGTCTCCAAAATGTGTATTCAATTTTTAAAGCTGTAACCAATTATAACTGGGAATTGCTAAACATTTCCAAGTGTGAAAACGCTTTTTACCTCTCGGGTTTTGCACAGGAAAACACACAACATTTACCCCACCAGCTTGGATGAGAGAGGATGTGTGTGTTCCCTGCACTGATTGATTCACACTTCACCTTTTTGCCTTTGGTTCTGATTTCTCAGGGTTAGGGGGTCCAGGGTTTTGATAAAATGCTCCTCTCCAGCCCTTACAGGCTGCTCCCCTCCCTTCACACACCTCTGGTTCCAAAAAGGGACAGAACTGAAGGTCTCAGAAGGAACAGACAGAGCCATGGATGGTAAAAAAAAAAGTCTCATTATTTAATATGATGCTATAAATCAGCATCATCTGAAGATGATGTGAGCAATCACTATTGCCCAGGACTGTTGGAACCCTGGCTGCTGAGAATTTCAGAATTTCTGTGCTGACAGGCACTGACCCCCAAGAGAATACTGCACTGACCTGAGGCTGTGGAGAAGCTTCCAAAATTGATGATAAAACTGGGATTGTGGGTGTAGAGTTTGAACAGAAGTGTGTGATATCACAGGGTAGAAAACTTAGAATTTCAGAGTTTAGAATATAGGAAGATATATATAAAGCAAGATGGAGGTTTTAGGGTGGAAGTTGGTCCTTCTCCTTTTCCTTCTCCTCCATGTGTTTGGGTGGTATTGTGTAATTGGACAAAAAGTCTGCATTGTGAGCCAATGGTGGTTGGTTATTGGGTTAAAAGTAAAAACAATTTAGGTGTCATTTCTTAATTGGACAGTTTATCCTTAAAAGGCCCTGTAGAGAGAGATACTGCTCCATTTTTAGTTTGTTAGAGTGCTGTAGAACTCACAGTTTGTAAGACTGTAATATAGACAAAAACTAACAAACATCTGAGTCCAAACAAGGAATACCATCTCACGTATTCAATCTCAACACTAATAAGAAAAAAGATAAAAAACCCCACACTGGACCTTGCAGACTCAGCAGTGAGAGGGAGGAACTAGACCCCTGTGTCCCTGCAGCCCAAGGAACATGTTTCTCAGCCCAAGGAACATTCCAGCTTTTCAGGGCTTGCTATGAACTATCATGTTCCCAAACCAGAACATCTGTGAGCCACCAAATATAGGAAACAAAATAACCTTTAAGAGGTATCTTGTATATCTCCCAAAGGTTAATTAGATAAAGCTTAGCAGCCCCAAAATGCAGCCTGGCCAAAGGTACGAGGTCGTTCCTTTCCGAGGTGGCCACGCTGCCCTGGGCTCAGCTCGCCCCACAGGCCGTGACCCCAGGGTTCCTTTGTTTGACCCAACTTTAATCAGCTTCCTTCTCTGATTCCAGCAAATCCCTCCACGGATGGCAGCCAGGAATAAAAGCTATTGTACAGCACGGAGCTGTGTTTCACAGCAAGCCATGATAAGTATTTCCTTTCCAAACATCCAAGTTCCCCAAACATCACAAAAGCCAAGAGGAGATTGTTGGAGTTTTGCAGATAAAACAACGGCGACAATAAAATGTAAATAAATCAGGGCATCCCTCACTCCAAAGCCTCTCCTCTTCCAGCTCGGAATTAAAGGAGGAATTTGGCAGGGCTGCTTACCGTGCTGGCAGTGAGGACCCTGGAAGCCAGAGGAGCAGTGACAGAGCTGCAAGGATCCCTCTTGGCAACTCCCACCATTGAGGCAAACTCTGTAACCACAGGCAGGGAGGAGGACGAGGATGATCCCACGCTGACCATCAGAAGGGCAAACACCCCATCCCAAAGTCCCCGAGAACACTTGAATAGTCATTAAAAAGCACTGTTTAACTGTTGGAACCCTGATTATTGAGAATTTCAGACTTTCTGTGCTGACAGGCACTGAGCCCCAAGAGAACACTGCATTGACCTGAGGCTGTGGAGAAGGTTCCAGAATGGAATGATAGAACTGGGATTGTGAGTGTGGAGTTTGGATAGAAGTGTGTGATATCACAGGGTGGAAAATTTAGAGATTAAGGATTTAGAATATAATGATATATATAAAACAAGATGGAGGTTTTAGGACAGAGACTGGTCCTTCTTCAACTTCTTCTTCTCCTTTTTCTTCACCTTCTTCTTCTCCTTCACCTTCGTCTTTGTGGGTTTGGGTGGTTTTGTGTAATTGAATAAAAAAGTTCACATTGCAGGCCATGGGTGGTTGGTTATTGGGTTAAAAGTGAAAATAATTTAGGTGTCATTTCTTAATTGGACAGTTTATCCTTAAAAGGTCCTGTAGAGAGAGATACAGCTCCATTTTTAGTTTGTTAGAGTGAGGTTCTGTGGAACTCGCAGTTTGTGAGACTGTAATACAGGTAAGAACTAATAAATATCTGAATCCCAACAAGAAATACTATCTCACACATTTAATCCCGACCCTGGCAAAAAAAAGTTAAGACTTGACATTTAACCATTTTGGAAAGTTGATTTTTTTTTTTTGCTTGACAGTATGATGCTCAATGCACAAAGTCTCAAAGTTTAGGATAGGAAGGAAATTACCTCAGGGAATGTCCAAGGGCTTTCCTTGAGAATCATAGGAGAACATCAGGGCTGTGGTGAAAGGATGCTTTTCCAGGCAACAAGTGGATAGAACAGCCACAAAACTACTCATGCAAGATCTCGAGGCAACAAATAGAAGTTACTTGTGCTGAAATTGGAGGGATCTTTCTAGAGCAGTGCCCTGGGAGCTGCTCCCACCTCTGCACCGAGCTTCCCCGGGAGCTGGCTGCCCCATCGTGGCGTCACCTTCGGGCAGCCCAGAGGATGAAATGGAGCTAAACTGTAAGTAAGCCTGAGCAGCCACGTTTCTCTGTTCTCACCCAGCGGAGTGTAAAATGGACACGGAGACACGGAATGCTCAATTAGGCTTCTGAAATCCACCTTTCCAAATCGTCCCCACAAACCCACCAAGAAGGTTATGGTTTTTCCAGGGGAGTGTGTGCTTCTCATAACTCATGAAAGGCAGCCTATGGTTTATATTTCCCACTGGGAAATGCTGATCTCAAAAGCAGAAACGTTGTGAACGGGGGCACTGTCATGTGTGTGGTGCTTTGTTGGTGGGTAAGGATGCAGAACAAGCATCCATCTTCCTTTCTAAATCTGTTTAAAGATTTGCACAATGAAATTTTCTCTTTGTTCACTGATCTGGACAGAGCTGTGGTGACGACCAGCTCCTCTCTTCATTCTTTTTCCCTCACCTCCTCTTTTCCTCCCACTTTTCATTGAAGAAACTGCTACGAACTCCAAGAGAGATGGGACTGATAGAAATACATCTCACAAAAACCTGGCAAACCTGAAGCAAAGAGCATCAACTGATGATACAGATCAAGATACACAGGGGTGGCCCCTGGTCCAGCAGCTCCCTCTCACCCACCCCAACCCTCTGCTGAGCCCAGGCTGGGCTGTGGAGAGCCCTGGGCTAAGAGAAGCCATGGGGACCAATCTATTCCAACTGATGCATCCCAAGAAGGAGCACACTGCAGCCACCAGTGGTGTCACAGGACCTTCAGGTCAGTTACCAACTAAACATAAAAAGCTGTGATTAAATTACAACCCTCATACAATCTGGGACCACCTGGTAACAATTACAGCAGCACTCGCTGAACAAGGGTCCCCCACGCACGTGGGCTGTGCTGGCTGCAGCTTCTCCCTCCTATTTGCAAGTTGGGAGCCCCCCTGGCTTCTCTTCCCATTCCAGCTAAAGCTGTAACTAATTAGTGACAGAAAAAGCAGGTCTGTGATTACACATTTCATTTCGTGTCATTATAACTGGCACCCCGCGCAGGCTTCCAAAATGGCTCCAAAATTCTTGGCACAAAAACGCCCACGCCGGCTCCAAAACACTAATTGTGCACTCAGAGAAAAAGGGATCACAGATGGAAATACTGCAAGGCAGGGGTTGCAGTTTAGGGGCAGGACAGCTTGTGCACACCAGGAGATAAATCTGCGAAGTTATCAATTGTCAAAAACGACTAAAAAGTCTGAGGGAGCCACATGAAATTTAAGCTGGGAAAGGGCAGGGATTACCTTCCCAAAAAGAACCCAAAGCTGGTGGGTGTCAACTTGTCACGCCTGAAAAATCAGTTCTAACCCCCTGTACGTGGAAATCTAATAACCACGTTACTGTGTTCCCACTATTGAATCTCCCATATATCCAATATTGGCTCTGTTTTTTCCTACAGGAACACAGTCGACTTCCTGATTTCCCCTGCGTGCTAAATCCTGCTCCTGGCTCACACAACACCTTCTGCCAAGGCTGCACTGACTGGGGAAGTTTTGTGATTTGGGAGGTTTTGTGATTTAGGGAAGCTTGGTAAAGGTTTAGGTGAATGTGCCATTCTCCAAATATTCATATTTGCCATCGAAATACACCGTCTTGCCAGACAGAGCTATGTACCTGCTTAAAGGGCTTTTCTTCTATCAATTCTTTTACCACACAGGGACACCCTGGGTTATTGCAAACTCCACAAACTTTGCACCTTCGATGCACTAGAGCCAAAATCCACGAGCTTCAGCATTGGCTTTTTTAAGGACCTGATGATTTTTCAAACCCCCTCCCTCCAGAAGAGGAGATTATTTATAACACAAAGGTAGCATTGAAGCCCAAACACTCTCTCCTCGAACTAATGAACCCGTGATGAAATGCTGCTTCACAAAGCCAGTTATCTTCTCATCTAACGCTTTAGTCGCTTTCCATGGCCACGTATCCCTGGGGACTGCAGTGATCCCATACCAATCCCGTGCTGGCAGAGCACTGCAACTTGGGCAGCTCTTTGCCAAGCATCCTGCTCAGCCCAGCCGTGATGCCTGTGGGTTGCAAATACTTCCCAGGAACAACTTCCCATCTCCAGGTGTGTGCCAAGGTGTTCCAGGGCTGCAGCCTCCAGGTTTTCCCAGCTCTGATCGTGCAAGAGGGGCTCTCTTTTCTTTTACTCCTTTCCTTCAGGCCTCAGCATCGTAAGAAAGAATGGGTTGCCTGGCCAAATGACACAATGGTTTGGTTTTTCCTGAATCTTTCAGCTTAAACACCTAAAAACCACATTTTAATGAGGGTCCCAGCAGAGCCAGGCCTGGCTCCAGGGAGCCCAACTCGCTGGCAGCACTCAGCTCTCGGAGCAGCTCAGCGAGACCCAAAGCACAACAATGGAAAATATTAGAAGCAATTTCAGTGACACAAATCAGGGGTTAGAAGACAGGGGTGTTATTCTTGGCAGTGCCCCAGATTTCCTGAATGAGCTGGACAATTCCCTGCTCTGTGCTGCAGGCTGGCACATACCGAGTGGAAATCATAATAACCTACTTCCCAGCCCGGGGGCGGGTGGGCCTGTGGGTCTCCCCCTCTGTGCCCTCCAGGCCTCCTGCAAACGAGCTCCTAATTCAGAGCGACAGAGTTTAATGTGATGAAATTTGGGAAAAGGGGAATGACACTGTTCGGGGAAAGGGGAGAGAAAGAATAAATTATGGGAAGCGTCACCGCCTTCTGCTCAGAGGCCGGGCAGTGTCCTTTGTGAGAGCTCAGCGAGGCGGGATCCTCGGGAAGTCGAGACATGAGACTGATTTAGGAGGAAGAGCCAGGAAGAAAAGCAATGTTTTGGCTCCCTGAGGTACAGCTTGGCCACTCCCTACCTGGGCAGAGATGTGCTCCCAGGGGAGCCCACGATGGACTTTTGACCAGCACGGAGCTCCAGCTCAGGCGAGAGGTTCAGGAGTTCAGCCACAGCCTTTCAGCTGACTAAACAATGAGCCTGCAGCAGCCAGGAGGTGATGGACAAAGCCAAGCCGCCTCTCAGGGAAATTAAACTGTCAGCCGGACGCATTTCCTGACGAGGCTTCCAACCTGGCCCGAGCTGCCCACCCTGTGATGGTGCCATGGTCATGTTCTGGAGCTGTGCTGGGCTCCAGGGTCATGCCAAGCTCCAGGGCTGTGCCAGGTTCCAGAGATGTACCAGTTTCCAGGGCTGTGCCGAACTCTAGAATTGTGTTGGGCTCCAGGGCTGTGCCTGGCTCCAGGGACATGCCAAGCTCCAGGGACACTCAGGTTCCAGGGACATGCCAGGTTCCAGGGCCGTGCCCAGCTCCAGGGCTCTGCTGAGCTCTAGAATTGTGTTGGGCTCCAGAGCCATTCAGGCTCCAGGGTGATGCCATGTTTGAGGATGCTGTCAGGTTCCAGGGCTGTGTCAGGTTCCAGGGCTGTGCCAGGCTCCAGGGCTGTGCCAGGCTCCAGGGCTGTGCCAGACTCCATGGTTGTGCCAGTGAAACAAGCACAGCAGGTCCCCATGAGCTCTCCTCCCTGCTCACCAGGCGATGGGTGAAAACTCAGTGGAATTGGCAGAAAGAAACACAGTTCAGTGTGGGGTAAGTCACTCCAGGCCATTTGTGACTAATAGAAGTTTTTCTTTTAATGGGGTGATTACAATTCAGCTGCTTTCTGCTCACGGATTTTCATTGTGTCTCAGACTGACGCCTCTTCAAATGAGCATTAATTCTCTTTCCTACATAGGGCCAGGCTTTACCTCCACCTGAGCTGAAAATCAGAAGAGAGCAGAACCTCACCTGGATAAAAACTTGAGTTCAGGACAACTTTGACCAGGTTTAGACCAGCAGCTCAGGCTGAGCTTCTCCAGGCCACGTCACAACAGTGACAGTGCCACCCACACCAAGTCTAGTCATGGTCTCCTCTTCAGGCTCTCCTTGGTGCCTTTGTGCCTCACCATGTCCTTTTTGCAGGTGGCAGGGGCTGGCCCAAGAGCACAGACAGGCTGTGG